GCCAATTATAGCATCAGAACTCTAAGCACTTGAGAGAGAGTGGGCACCTCCCAGAACATTGTTTTGTGCCACTCGCAACAGAAATACTCCAGGTAGACAACTTCAGCAATCAGGAGCTCCTCAGTTGCTCATAGAAAATCGCACCTTGGAGTTTACAAAGACTTATGGGTAGAAAAGCCACACTAAGTAATTTACTACACCGCACCTACTAACTATTAAGAATACATTCCATATAAGAAAACAAAGCCATCTTTCTAAATATGCTTTTACAGCTTGTTTGCTTTATCTTTGTCAAAATTTCCTGTTTTTCTGATGAATTCTGTGGTGCTATTTCGATTTATCTGCTTTTTTTCTGTTGTTCCTTTGTGATTAATCCTATAAATTTTTGTGTTATAAAAACGTCTTCTATCTTAAATAACAGCAGTTTGCCCAGTGGTAGTATTTTGTTCCAATGTCAGTCTTGTACAGGGTATGTAGTAAAGCATGTAATTATACTTAAATTCTTATCTATTAACTAACACTCTGATTTTCAGTCAAAAGCTAGAGTTATAGATACCAGGGTGTATGCAATGGTTTTGAAGATATACTATAAGCTATATTTAAAGAGTAGCTAATACTCTCATTTGACTTTTTTCCCCACCTCTGTATCACCCTTGTTGTCAAATCAGATGAAGAGTACTGTCAAGAAATAGATTATAGAGAATTAAAAATTTTTGCCCTCATGTTGTTCATATCATCCCATCTTGGTTGTTTTCTACCTTGCCTGTGTTTCCTTATTCCTTTATGCTTATCTAGCTAGATTATCTTTATGCTTATCTAGCTATAAACTCTTAACTGTAGACATTTTCCCTGGTATATATTTTGGGGTTGTAGTTCTTTACCTTATTCTTCCCTTTTGTTTACAGGGTGACAGCTGCCCATTCCGTCACTGTGAAGCGGCACTAGGAAATGAAACTGTTTGCACATTATGGCAAGAAGGACGTTGTTTTCGACAGGTGTGCAGGTTTCGACACATGGAAATTGATGTAAGTTCTGAGTTGGCATTATCATAGTACAACAAGTAGTCTGGGTGATGGGAAAAGCCAATAAAATATGTGGTAAATAATCACATTTTATCTGTTTTAGCATGTGAGTTAAATTTTATTTTTTAATGATCCAGTGAATCATTGATACTCACTTAATATCTAAATGTTAAAAGCATGAATTCGTATAATCTTTCTGCAAGCCAGTTTGGTAATATAGCTAAAGCCTATTTGGTAATATAGCTATAGCTATACCCACACACAAGCACTCATATTTGGGCAGTATTTACCTGTATTTCTATTTTTATTTATTTGTTTGTTTGGAAACAATCTCACTTGAAGAAAAGTTCCAAATATAGTATAAAACTTTTTTTTTCTTAGCCTTCTGAGAGTTGACAGTCCCTGTCACCTCCAGATATTTTCTTAAGTATTTCCTACAAACAAGGATATACTCATGCCATAACCTTAATTCAACCATCAAATTAGAAAATTAGCATGGATATGTTACTTCTATTTAATCCTTAGACTTCATTCACGTTTTGCCAGTTGTCCCGGTTATGTCCTTTATAAATAGCACAAGGAGTGATTCCAGATTCAGATGTTACATTTCATTGTCATGACTCTTCTGTCTGCTTCAGTCAGAAACAGTTACTCAGTCTTTTCTTGCCCTTCTTTGGCCTCAACACTTTGTTAATTACAAATGATTAATTTTGTAGAATGTGCCTCAATTTAGAGTTGTCTGCTTTTTTCTCATTGGCTAAATTCAGGTTGTGTATTTTTGGCAGGAATATCAGAAATGATACTCTTCTCATTGCATGACATCAGGTGGCATATGATTCTGTTTTTCCCATTACTGGTGATGCTAACTTTGGTCACTTGATTAAGGTGATGTTGGCTAGACTTCTTCACTGTAAAGTATTTCATTTTGTGATTAATAATTATTTTGTGGAAAGGTACATTGAGATTCTATAACCCATTTCTGTCAAAGTTTCAAATTTTTCTAGTTGTTTATGTTAGTGTGAGTTCATGGTTTCTTCTTTATTATATTATGATTTATTTCTGTCATTTATTTTTTATGCTTAAATTGACCGAGATTTGTCCAGTTGAAGTCCTTCAAACTGGTTTTTGTGTACTTTGACATGCTTCCATCATTCTTTGAGCATCTCTTTGCTCAAAGATTTTTCAGGCTCATTTTGTACTTTTCCTGTTCCAGCCTTGGAATCAATCATTTCTCCAAGGGTCCCTGGTTCCTTTCAGTAAAGAATGATATATAGAAATTAAGATTTTGGCTCTTCCTGCTGTGTCATTGCTTCTCGATCCTCTCAGTGGACAGAGCTAGGGGATATATAAATGTATATACATACTCATGTTTACGTCATTATTTGTTATCTGTTTTGTTGTTTTTGTTGTTGTTAGTTACTGTTGAGTCTGTTCTAACACGTGGTGACCCTATGTGTGCAGAGTAGAACTGCTCCGTAGAGTTTTCAGAACCAAACTTTTGAAAGCAGATTGCCAGGCTTGTCTTCTGAAAAGCCATTCAGCAGATTCTAACCACCAGCCTTTCAGATACTAGTGGAGTGCTTAACTGTTTGCACCCCCCAGGATATCCTTACTATACATCTACATATTGAAAATTATGAATTCACATAGATGCCTCAAATTCCAGTCTAAAACCACAGGGTTTATTTTGTTGTTGTTGTTATGTGCCATGGAGTCAGACCTGACTCATAGCGACCCCTCCTTGGGTTTCCAAGGCAATATCATCACTACGGAAGTAGATTGCCCCCCTTCCTTCCAAGGAGTGGCTGTTGGGTTTGAATCGCCAGCTTTCTGGTTAGCAGTCACGTGCCTTAGGCACTACACTACCAGCGCTCTTCTTTTCCATACTTGTAATTCTCTTCTCCCAAAGTAAGTAACTTGGTTCTCATTGCCCTTAATATTTGGTGTACTTGATCAGTTCCCTACTATGTAAACCGATACTGTATCACAGCCTTTTCCTCTTGGCCTCTGACGTCGCATGTGAGAATTCCCCTACACAGGAATATCCCTCTCACCTTGTGTCAACTCCAGCACCACATGTGAGACCTCACGGGACCCTTTCCTTATCCTGCTTGGACCTGCCATCTTACTCTGGACTCACCTTATGGATTCCTTTTTCATACCTTTGGGCTCTGATACTCTGTCCTGGGCAGTCCTGCCAACTGGGATGCTCTCCTTACACTGCTCACAACTCAGTCTCTGCTCTAGGTCTCCACTCAGTGACACCCTGTCATCTTTACCTTGCTTAGTCTTGATAACCCCATTCCAGGCTGCCCCTCCATGGAGATACCTCTTCACCCTACATTGATCTGCCCTCCTGCACAGAAGCTTTGCTTACTCTACTTAGGCTTCAGCCCTGTGTCAGGCCACTTTCTTGTGCAGGTGCCCTCCTAACATTATGCCAGCTTCCACTTTGTCATATGGACATCTTTCTCTTCCTAGTCAAGTACAAACACCCGATGTGGGCCACCATATCCTTTCTTCCCACAGCATAGATGCCTGCTGCCCTCAGCCCCACCTAGTGACTTTGGACTGAAGTGTTTGGAGTAGGTGAGGAAAGAAGGAAGAGACTAAGTATGAATTTTGTATGCCAGGGGTCAGTTAGTTTGGTTCCAGATTTTTATTAACTATATTCTATGCTACTTGTCTTCCAAATAGTAAGGAATTAATTAAATAAACTCAGAGGAAGGAATACTGACATCTTGTGAAAATACCATGTCACATTACTGGCAAAATATAAATTGGCACAACTCCTGAGGAAGGTGTTCTGTGATCTCCCAAGTCTGCCCCTACATTTAGGAATTTACTAGAACTCATGGTACATAACATAAAGTTTTATTCATGGTTAAGATTTATTACACTTAGGATGTACATTTGGTCATAAGAGAAAGAGACACAGTCTGGAGGAATGTATGTGCAGATTTCCTGATGGTGTCTCCCTGCCATAAGAGATCATACAAAGTATACTTTTCCCCCAGCAACAAAAATACAGCAACATATGTGTGATGTTTCTGTCCAGAGAAGCCCAGTAGAGACTTAGAGCCCAAGGTTTTTATTGGGGCTAGTCACATAGGCACATTGTGTTTAACACCTTCCAAAATTCCAGACTTCCAGAAAGAAGGCAGGTGTTCATCATAAACCATATTATTTGCACAGAGAGTCTAGGCACAGTGAAACACTCTAATCAGTTAACTGTTGACTGGGAACATTCGAAGAACCAAGTTCCTTGATGCCAGCCAAGGGCTAGTCTTGCATACAGGATTTTGTAAGCATAGCAGTCTCAGGCCTACTGTTTTAACTTTTTCTGCACAGCAGTTAATTTGGCTTTATCTTTCAAAACTCTCAAAATGCTTATATGTTTGTTCCATATGTGCAAAATGAGATATATATAGAATTACCCATTGTAGCATATTTTGTAATAGTAAAATACTGGAAATAACCTAACCATCTTTCAGTTAAAATAAAACTTGCTATATTCTTATAATGGTGTTCTGGGCAGCTGTTAACAAAAATTAAAAAAAAAAACAAAAACGAAAACTCATTATTATTGATATGGAAACATCAATATATTTTGAGTATGGGGCAGAGCAAAGTATTTTAATATGCTACCATTTATGAGAAAAAGGGAAAGGGAAGAGAATTTATATCTGTTTTCATTTGCCATATGCTTTTTAAAAAGTTATAAAGGAGAAACTTAACAACAGTGACGTTGGGGGAGGAGGGACAGGGATAGGAAGGAATTTTTTTACTGTGTATCTTTCATATGTATCTTTGAAACATACTGTGTTATCTGTTAAAATTTAAAGAAATGTAAGAGGAGGATGTTGTTATGGAGGATATTTTGCCAAATCAAAAACTTAAGAAATTACGTGGAATTTCTTGAAGTGTATATATGTGTATGATTAAAAAATAAATAAAAGATCTGGTAGCATAGTGCCTAAGGCACTTGACTGCTAACCAGAAGGCTGGAGGTTCAAACCCACCAGTCACTCCTCAGAAGGAAGGTTGGACAATCTACTTCTGTAGAGATACTGCCTCGGAAACCCAAGGAGGGTTCGCTATGAGTTGGGGCCGACTCAACAGCACATAACAACAACAGCATACCAGAATAGGGAACTCTCGTGGCATAGTGCCTCAGGCATTTGACTGCTAATCAGAAGGCTGGTGGTTCAAACCCACCAGCCATTCCTCGGAAGGAAGATTGGGCAGTCTACTTCCATAGTGGTACTGCCTCAGAAACCCAAGGTGGGGTCACTGTGAGTTGAATCCAACTCAGCGGCAGTGATTTTGGTTTGGGTTTATACCAGAATAAGTGGTTCTCTTTGGTTAGCGGTATAACAGGCATTTATTTCTATTCTTAACATCATCTTTTTTGTATGTTAATTTTCAGTGAGAAACAAAATCCAGGAAATGTCAGGTGACTCCAGTATATGGAGAATATACTGTTATAAAAGTCATTCTGTAATTTAAAAATTACTTCCAGGAAAGAAATAAAGATTGACCCTGGTGCAAGTAAGATTGGTACTCAGTTTTGTCTTAAGGAGGAAGTAATTAAATAATTGTTATTATTCCTACCTAATAAAACAATGGCAGCTATTACACCTATTTTTGGGGTGTAACAAGAGACTTATTCTGTCTTTGAAAGGTAACCATAGTTGCTGTAGTTTTTAAAATAGGTAATCATGCATGTAGCAAAAATGGAAACATATTTCTTTTGTAATAATTTTTTCTAAATTGCCTTTGCAAAATGTTGAACTAGTTTACATTTCCATTAGCAGTGTGTGGAGTTCTGTGAGTTTTCCACATCTCCACCAACAACATGTATTGTGAAATTTATCAGTCTCCCAGTGTATTTTAGGTTTTGATCTTTGCCCTTTTTGATGCCTGTAAGGGTCTTTTTATAATGGCTGTTGTTTCTCTATTTCTTCTCCATATTTTAAATTCCTACATTAATATTGTTACTCTTTCCTGCAATTTTAAATGTTAGGCTGCTGATTGTGATTAGAGAGCCAGCATAATGCAGGTTATTAGTTAGAGGGTAATTACTTTTCAGAAGTCCTTATTAGGTCTTTTTTTCTTTTTTGACTTATTTGCTTATGTATAAATATAAAAAATAATACAAATCGTAGTCGTAGAGCTGCCAAAAATTTTCACAAAATGAATATACTTATTTACCCAGTACCCTGTTTGCTCCCTTCATCCCTTCATTGTCACTGACTACGCCCCCAGAGGTAGTTATTACCCTGACTACCGTGAAGAGGTTTTGCCTGTTTTTTAATCTTTTCATAAATGTGGTCATACAGCTCTTTTGTGGCTGGCTTGTTTTGCACTACATCTGTGGTGTTACGTGTAGCAGTGGTTCATTCCTTTTTGTTACTGGATAGCATTCTATTACTATATGAGTATACTATAATATATCCATTCTAGCATTGATGTACATGTGGATGGTTTGCATTTTGGAGCTATTCCAAATACTATGGCTTTGAACATCCTTTGTTTTGAACATTCTTCATACAGATCATTTGGAAAACTAATGTATGTGTATGATCTAGCAGCTTTTTCCTAGGTGTGCAAATAATCTTTTTGTTCCTCTTCTCCTTCATAAGAGGGAGGTGGTCTAGGGAAGAATAAATGCCATCTCTTAGTGTGTTACAAATGCTTTCCTTTGAAGAGTTACTAAAGGGGAAAATTTGGTGAAAGCTGAACTCTCACTTTCAAATAATAGCTACAGTTTATTGAGTCCTTTCTGTTTCCTTAATGCTTCATCATCATAAGAAACCAGTTATATAGGTACTGTTATTCCCATTTTATGGCTGAGGAAAGTGAGGCTTTCAAAGGCATTCAATTATTTGTCCAAGGTCACATGGCCAATAAATAGCACAATAGATTTAAAAACTCTGCTGTTTGCTGTCATCCACTTGGAAGGGATGTAGGAGATCCTGCATAGAGAGGGAGAACAATGTGGAACAAAACTCAAAATCTTTTGGACGAAAAAAAAAAAAAAAAAAGAAGAAGGTGGGGACCAGGTTTGCTGGTCCAATAGAGCCTGGTGGAACCACTGAGACTATGGCCCCTAGCTGCCCTTCAGGTCTGGAATTGAACCCACACCTGTGGTTTCCAGCCAAACAAAGTACAGGCATGTGAGTTAAACATTTACCTCAAGTAGACACACGCCCTGGAGAGAACAATCATGGGAGAAGGAAGGGCTGCTTATGCACAGGGAGGCAGCTCAGGGCGCAGAAGAGTATGGAGGGATGGACACTGGGAAGAGGTAACTGTGGGGAGGAAGTGGGAGGGGAGCTGTTGCATTATAAATTTTGGTCAATGACATGAGACAAAGTATATGTGAACTGCTGAATGAAAAGTGAATTTACTCTGTAAATCTTCACCCAAATCAAAATAAAATTAAAAAAAAAACTCTGCTGTTTGTTTGCATAATATTAACTACTGTATCCTGCTGCTTCTCTGAATTAAGTATAGACATTTAGGAGTTCCAGGATGAGGGAATGAAGGAAAAAATAGCAGAAAAACTACTCCCCTACTCCCTTCATTTCTTCATGCTTAAAGTATATCGTGTTCGGCACCTTCTCTTCATTTCACATGCCTCAGGTTTCTAGAACCTGTTATGAACTTAATCCAAAAAACAAATTTTCCAAATTAATAATGTATCTTACTTCGTTATTTATTTGAAAAAAATACGTATACATATTTCTTTCCTACAGAAAAAACGCAGTGAGATTCCTTGTTATTGGGAAAACCAGCCAGTGGGATGTCAGAAACTAAACTGCGCTTTCCATCACAACAGAGGACGCTATGTTGAAGGCCTTTTCCTACCTCCGAGCAAAAGTGAGAGATCCATTTGTAATTTTAAAAGAATAATTACTATTTAACAAACCCCTACTGTGTGTACTGTACAAAGTACTTCATTGCCTTCTTTCAATCTAGTGAGTCTGTTATTTCTACTTTCCAGTTGAGAGAACTGAATTTTATTAAGATTAAATGACTTACACGTGGTCATAAAACCATACAAGGCAGAGCCATGATTAAAACTTCATGTTGCCAAAAGCCAGGCTGCCTCACAAATGTATCTTGGCATGGCAGCTAAGATGATTAAAGTTTAATTCATTTCCCATTTTCTTAGGACACCTATAAAGATTTTTAAAAGAAACTTGATTCTCTCCAGGCCAAGGGTTGACAATCTGTTCCTCCTTCTGTTTGTAAAATAAAGTTTTATTGGAATGTGGTCACAATCATTTACCTATTTTCTCTGGCTGATTTTGTGCTCCAACTACAGAGCTGAGTAGTAGCGACAGACCATATATGGCCTGGAGAGCCTCAAATATTTACTGTCCTGTCATTTACAGAAAAAATTTGCCAACCTTGCTCTAGGCTATAATCTAAAATGAAACAAGCTACAAAAAGCTATTATTTTTCATAAACACAATGGAGTACTATGCAACACTAAAGAATAATGTAGAATCTGCCAACCACCACATAACATGGATGAACTTGGAGGACATTATGCTGAGTGAAATAAGTCAATCAGAGAAGGACAAACATAGTATTAATTCATTACTGTAAAAAGTTAAGGAAAGGTTTGAATATGGAAGGAAATTTTCTTTGTTGGTTACCAGGGGTGGAATGGAAGGGAGGAAACACTGCAAAAAAAAAAAAAAAGGCATTGACCCATGTCACTTTAGTTTTGTGTGTTTCACTGTACATAAATTATATATCAAAATTTTTTTTGTTTAAAAAAAGGCTAGTATTTTTTTTGGGAAATGCGAATTGCAAACAAGTGTTAACAAGGTAAAGGCAGAGGATGACCTGATCCTATAGCATTAAACTATATAAGCTTGTTTCCAAAGCCCCTTTAAAATAATTTCCTAATAGAATTATCAGCACTTTAAAGTCCATTCTGATGTAATTAAATTTGATGGTTGTGTTTTTTCACCTCAGTTTACAGTTTTCCTTTATGGTTTAAATAAATATTAACTATTGTCTCAAAGCTACTACTTTGCTAAGCATAAATCCTATAATTTCAATATTTAAATTAAGTGTCTAGCATACACAGTTACTATATGTCTAGCAAGGAGCTCCAGTGGCTCAGTGGTTAAGGCATTCAGCTGTTAACTAGCTGCTAACCAAAAGATCCATGGGAGAAAGATACGGCAGTCTGCTTCCATAAAGATTTACAACCTTGGAAATCTTATGGTGTTCTACTCGATCCTATAGAGTCACTATGAGTTGGAATCAACTCGATGGCGGTGGATTTGGTTTTGGTTTATTGCATCTGGCAAGGAGCCCTCATTGTGCCGTGATTAAATGCTCACTTGCTAACTGAAAGGTCAGCAGTTCAAACCTACCAGCCCACTCCACAGGAGAAAGGTGGAGCACTGTGCTCCTGTAAAGATTATAGAAATGGAAACCCTATGGGGAGTTTTTATAGGGACCTGTGAGTTGCTATGAGTCAAAATTGACTCAACGGCATTGATTTGATTTTTGTTTTTGTTTTGTTTTTCCTGGCGCATCTAGCCTTTTGTTTATTTTATCAGCAGTGTTTTTAGTGCTCATTTTGAGTTTGTTTATGTACAGTGAAGAGTTATTAGCTAAAGGCATATTTTCCCCCTCTGGGAGTTTGGAATGTAATTGGGAAAATTAGGTAAAAAGACATAACGTTAATTAGGAAGATAGACCAAAGTTATCGTAGGTGGAACAGGGATTTTTTAATGTATTCAGATTGTGTCTTCTGTTTTTAATTAACTGCTGGTTTTTTCTCTTTAGCTGTGTTACCCACTGTGCCTGAGTCACCAGAAGAGGAAGTGAAGGCTAGCCAGCTCACAGTTCAACAGAACAAATTGTCTGTCCAGTCTAATCCCTCCCCCCAGCTGCGGAGTATTATGAAAGTAGAAAGTTCAGAAAATGTTCCCAGCCCCACACATCCACCAGTTGTAATCAATGCTGCAGATGATGATGAAGATGACGATGGTAAGTGGTAGATCTTTATTTAAGGCACATAAATAGCAAGGGTCACTTAGTGAATTGAAAAGAATTAGGATCAAAGCTTGTTTTTAATTGTAAATTTGCCTTAAATGTTGATATTTAGATCAGTTTTCTGAGGAAGGTGATGAAACCAAAATACCTACACTGCAGTCAACTCCTGAAGTTCATAATGGATTACGAGTGACTTCTGCCCGGAAACCTGGGGTCAGTTTAAAGCAAGGTAAGAGTAGGCTATTGGTGCTTGGCCCTCTCATAAGTCTTACAGCACTCTTGAATGTGTCTAAACTATTTTAATTACCTTTGAGATTTAGTTCATGATTGCCACCTCCCTCCTGCCTCCACATACTTTCTCTTACTTGTTCATTTAGAAAACATTTGAATGCCTGCTATATGTACATAACACACAGAGATGAAAAAGGTGCTAGTTCCTCATGAGGTTCCTATTTGGGTTTCTCAGGTGAATGTTTGAATTTTGGAATAAAAACTCTTGAGGAAATCAAATCAAAGAAAATGAAGGAAAAATCCAGGAAGCAAGGTGGTAAGTTATCATGTGTTTTGTTTGCTAGAGAAGCATAATAAGCATTTCTGGAAGCAACAGCCACAATGATCAAATAGATTTTCACCTCTGTCGCTTGTTTTTAAGTAAAACACAGACTTCCTTTAAATCACATTTGCCTTTTGAATTCTTTATAGCTGTATTTCAGTCCCTAACTATTCAGAGCTGTTGTTGTTGTTGTTGTTATGTGCCGTCGAGTCGGCCCCCGACTCATAGCGACCCCTCCTTGGGTTTCTGAGGCAGTATCACTACGG